TTTTTTTTTTTTTTTTGAGTTCTTTAGGATTAGAAGAATAATGATGTATGGGGTTTATCTTGTTTTGGAAGTTAGAGGTTTTTAGGGTCTTAGCCTATATATTGTCTTTATCTCACCATTAACCGATCAGTTGATTGAGAAATATTAAAAAGAAATATGTTCTTTCGTGAGTTTCTCGTGTGTGAGTTCTCTTTTATTCCCTTCCGTCATTCACGTTCTACATCAGTTGGTATCATCAGACTGGGACGATTCGAGATGCCGCCACAAACAAACGACAATGAACGACGTGATGCTCGTCTTGACGAATTTGATAGGCATACCGAGGGCCTCGACACCAAAATCGAACAAGTAGACCGTCGGGTTGAGGGTCTTCCTGTGGGAATCGAGGAAATAAAATTGGCGATTCGTACCATGATGCATGGGGAAGAGACGAACTGCGACGTCATCGGTCAGGGCATTCGCGGCGGGTTACACGCTGGTTGATTGGTCGGAAAAAATGTGTAATTTATATATCTATTAGCGTATTTTTATATGCTTAATTTTGTCGCACTTATGTATCTTTCGACTTATTTATTTATTTGGATGGATTTAAGTACTATGATATTTTTATGATTTAGTTTCAGTATATTGGCGTATTTTTGTGGATGGCGAATCAAAGTCGATAAACTATTGGGCCATAATTGCTGAATTTATGTGGAGGATCACTGATTTTGGAGAGTTGCAAGGTGCTGGGTAAACTTTTGGACTAAACATTAATTAGAGAGGAGTATTATTTGGGCCATAGATAAACCTTAATTGAGGCCCATTTTGTGTGGAGCTTATCAAGCTAGGAGAAATTAATTAAGGTCTTTGATTTGAGGAAAGAAATAACTAAAGGCTTGTACACATCTAATTGTTGGGCCTGGGAGTGAAAACTCACGAGAGGAAATAATTAGGCTTGTGAGAGCATTATTTTTAGCCGCCACATACACGCACAGAGAGAAAAAAAGAGAGAACAGAAAAGAGAAAAAGAAAGGCACGCACAGC